TTTTTTTTTTTTTTTTTTGTCTTTTTCCGTGTCCGGCAACAGATCGCAACCCTCAGTGTTGCCCCCGCACCGGACCGGGGACCGGCAACGGGATCGCAACCCTCGGTGTTGCTCCCGCGCCTCGCTCAGCCAGTGAGCGGGAACTGGTCTGTATGTGGGATCCGAACCCTCGGGCGGGAGCGCCGCCACGCTTCCCAAGCGGCGCACTTATCCAGTGCGCCACCAGGCCGGCCCATAACAATTCTAAAAGTATCGCCCTTCTAACTTACTTCTCTTCAGTGTTCCTCACTCCCCACCTGAGTCTCAAAGCCTCATTCGTCCTCAACCCTGCTTCCTACTTTACACCTGGCCTCGGAGATTCCACCCTGGTAACGTAGCTGTGAGACCGAGGCCCTGCCTTCCACATGCATGTGCTGTCACGTTCTGGTCCTCTTTCACTGCGCTGCTCAGGTACTGCTGTGGACTTTAACTAATGGGTGGGCCTCCCAGCCACGCGTCTTACACACCGTTTTATAACCTGCTTCCAGACCAGTATTTATTCATCTCTAGTCTGAAAGCCCCACACTCAAACAAAGCCAGTTCCTGAGCTGCTCCTGCAGAGGCGCCAACTCTGCCCTATTGCTCAGGCCCTTCCACTTACCAAACCCTCCCGCCCCCTTCCACGGTCTGCTGAGACCCAGCCCAACCTTCCAGGGCTGACTTAGATCCCACCTCCTGCTCAGCAAAGCCTCCTCTGACTGCCCTGACTAAACCACTTCCTCCTTTCACTCCTAATGCAATTGCTACATGTACACAACTCAGCAGCTGATCTCACACCGCTAGTGAAAACGCTTCTACTATATTCAAATTTTATTTCAAAACTTCTACTTTTAGCCTTTTTAGGTTAGGATTAGCTTCCAAATTGGGTTAATGACTATTATATTTTATACTATATCTCAGTGCTCAGAAAATAGTTGTTCATTTCACCTGGTTGACAGGTCTTTGGAAACCTGAGGGTAGACAAAAACGTTCTGGGAAAAGCAGTCCACAGGTGAACGATATGTATTAACCCCCTGCAAACAATGTGAGGTCAACGGGCTAAAGAATCAAATTAAGGACACAATAACAGATGGCTTTCCCAGTGTTGAACAAGACAAGAAATCACAAAGGAAACAGTAACAGTTCACGATCTACTGAAATGTAAAGCTTGAGCAAAGGAGACCACGAGGTGAGAATAAAGACAACGTTACCTATGAGGACCCAACCAGTACCACCAAATACAGGGGGGCGATGGCTACACATTAAGAGCCCCGGCAAATACTTAAGAAAAACCCCAGGAGCCCCAGGAGACGAGTGGGGAAGGGGTGTGAACACCAGCACGTGCACCAGGACAAATCACATTAGCGATCAGTTTCAGTTCATACTAAACATACGAATGCTTCACTGCAAAAACCACGGCAGTTACATAACAAGATTATTTCACCGAGTCTATTTTATCATAGTTATTCTTCAGTGACTGAAAAACACAAACACATATATACGTGTGTGTGTGTGTATGCGAGATATATATATCGCTAGGGTCACGGAGCGTCAACCCTAATGGAAAGAGTCAGGCCAGGGGCGGGAGCCATCTCGCCCGGGGGCCAGCACCCGCCATGTCAGCTGCACCTGTGCCCTACTCCTGTGTCTGTTTTCCTCGCC